TCCTCTGGTGCATATAGTTCATGGAGTTACAGCCGTGACATCCTTTTATATCTACAATGGCAGTAGATATGGCTTCCTCAGATCCCATAGGACTGCTACTGATTCTGGATGTAAGTAAAAGTAAAAATCTGTCTTATTTTACTTATCTTAAATAAATAAATAATTAATTTTACCTGTATTTCAATGCTATGGATTTAGCACACTACATCTTGCCTCTGCTTCTGTGAAGTCTATCAAAAGTGTGTTTATCTCTCGAGCCTGAAAGTTTGATCAGTACTCTACCTGTTCTGCTTTTGTGAGTGTTATTCCTTTCCCAGGCGTCTGTTGGTATCATACATGAAGAAAGCCATAGTGACCAATATTGAAGGGTCCAGAAACAGACAGATGGAACTCTAATAGTGTCAGGTGGGTCTGCTCCCCCACCCCCCTCAACCCACGCCTATTGTTTTTAAACTTATATTAACTAATTAAATTTCTGTCTCTCATAAATTAAGTTTATCTTAAATTACAATTATATATTAACTATTTTGTTACTTTTATCTATATGTAAAAAAATAGACAAAGCTAATCTTTTTTTTTCAGTGTCCATTCTCTAATAGTGCCAGGTGAGTCTGCTCTTTTTGCCTCCCCAACCCACCCCTATTATTAGGTACATTTTAAACATTATCTGTTAGGTATTTTTATTCCTCATTAATTTATTTTATAGTATCTAACTTTTTGTTCTTGGTAAACTGCCATGATAGTGAAATCTTACAACTTAAAATGTTTTGGTAATTACAAAAAAACAAACATAAAAAAATAGTAGAAAACATACATAATCCAAGACTTCATTTCAACAATTTTTACCCTAGAATATTATTAATGGACATATTTGGCAAACATAATAAGTGAATGTGTTGTTTGTGCTGGTTTAAAATAGTTATTTTAAATTTACTTACAAGTTTTATATAGGCAAAAACATTTTCAAAATGTCAAGCATTTAAAAGAAAATATGCAAAAATAAAAAATTGAACTTTAATTATCACATTTGTATACATTTCCACTCTCTTCAATCTCTTCTTTAGTTTATGCAGAACATATTCCTAATACTTTAATTAAGACAACACAACTATTCAATCACAGTTCTTAACAGAACATACTGATGTTCTATACATTTATCAAACTTGCTTTTAAATATAACTTGTGAACTGAATACTAATTACAGGAGCCCTCATTTAATTATTCCGACTGTGTATTTGTTTGATATGGCAGTTAAAGGCATTATTGGAATGTGTTTAATTTGTTGTGATAGTTCAGCATCTTTATTGCCTATTGAGGATGATTTAGTCTGATTACAATGAGCCATTCTCACATACAGAGATTTGCAAAAGATAACAAAATGTATGTATTGTTGTGGATCAAAGATAAGTTTAAAACAGACATTTATACAAAACAATACAGACATGTAAGATGGAGTTTCCTACAAGTGAACATAACTAAGTTTTCTTGATTAATTTTATGTTGCCACCCATTTACATTACACACAGATACATTGGTTTGCTGCTATACAGGCACTTTTAAATCCAGTGGCAGATCTAAAGTAGAGAGGGCTCTGGTACACAAATTTGTTTTGCTCTGCCCACCATCACAAGGTTGGAAAAAAGGTAGATCCCCGTCTGTCGTACAACTCCCAGAATGCATTGCCAGCTGGGAATCTACTATTTGCCAATCTTCTAGGGTTTTATTTAGTACTGAGCTGTGTTTGTATGTGTGAATGTAAGCATGCTTTTGTATGGAGTATGTGTGTATAAGTAATTGTGTGTAATGTTGCGTTGTGTGGTTTTATGTAACCTTTTGAAAGTAGTGGTTTACTTGTGTGTAGTGCTTGCATGTGTATGAAGCAATGTATTTGTATGTAATTTTAAAATTAAATGCTGAGATGTATGCACATATAGATATACACTGCCACTGCCACACACTGATACACGCACACACACACATACACACAGAAAAACATACAGATAAAAACACAAACACTATATATATATATATACACACACACACACACAAAATATGTTAAAACAATTAGAAAGTATGAAAAGTCTAAATATAGACTATATTTAGTCTAAAAAGTCTGGTAGTCTAAAAGAATCTACCAGCAATTTAGAAGAAGAATTCTACAATTTGTAAATTTGATCACCAATGCAAATGTCTCCACTTCTATAGAAAGCCATGTTCGTAGACAACCTGATGGAGATCCTTCCCATCTAAAGTTTTAAGCCAATGAGAACATAACTACCAATACAAGAATATAGGCCTTAGTATTAGATTACTGAAAAGAGAATCCAAATTAATTCATGACTTCCAATCATTGACAACCTAAGGTCTCAATGAAGAGTTTAACTTCACTCCATTTATCCCCTGATATTTCTTCATCTACAATTAAGAAACAATCTTACAATTAAGAAACAATCGTACATATAGTAAATATTTCTGAATTAGTATCATTTACCTTTAGATCTTTGATTAGAACAATTTGTGACACATAAATTTAGCCACAACCATACTATCATGTTTACATTTTTTGTATTTATTTTTATGTGTTTCATACTACTAAATAACACTTCGACCACCCTCTATAGTGTGATATAGCATTACCATCTTATAATAGCATACTCTTTAATAAACATGTTTACTAGTGAGTATTGGGGATATAATATCCTTTTATCAGCCTAAAGGAATTTATACCCCAAATCCCTACTAAATAAATTGTCATTAAAATTCCTATCATCTTGCAAGTAGTGTGGGTGAGTTTCAATATTCTCTAATTCCAGAGAATAACAAAGGATCTTTAGAAGTATGTGTAATTTAATTTATATTATGTATACTAGTTCAGGATTCACATCATCCTACAAATGCAATAAAAACTTCATTCAAAATAAATAACACCACCATTAGGGGAGAATATCTCAGTATGATAAATACAATCATAGTGATCATCTATCATTTGTGTAGTGGATATATGAGTGGGTATCACTAAACCTTAGGTTCAGAGTATCCACAAATTTAGCAATGGCTATCAGTTCATGGTTTCCATTAGTCTGTAATAACCAGAGCTAATCCGATATGCGGTGATTGATGCTTGTCAAATTGAAATAGACCAATAGTTATGTACCTTTTCCCTTTTAAACCCGATACCTTGGTTGGTTCGGTTCTCTTCTGATTAACTGGTTTAGCGAAACGCACGTCTGGTGTCCTGACAAGCACACATTTCAGCCAGTGTATTAGGAGTGAGCTTTTATCAACCATTTAGAGCCACTGTACTAAGAGTGCTTTGACTAAATAAGAATGTCTTTCAGGTTCTGATAGACAAATTTAACATTTACTGTACTAGCAGTGAGCCTGCACTAATTGCTCATCGCATAGGGTTCCTGCATTTTTTCATCATTATATCTATTCACTCCCTCCTCCCCCCCCCCGATGTTGAGCCTGCTACTGTGTAAGTCTTTACTGGTATATACATTTATTTGTTGCAAATTTCAATATCGGTGCATCATCATTCCTTGTTGCAACATACGGCATTGGCTTAACATTCTTATTGAATCCAAGTAGATTTATCCCCACTTGTTTATTTTAGACGGTTATTAGGCAGCCATTCTACTTTGGCATAATGCTTTCATTAATCTTTGGCCTTGTGTTTTTTCATAGGTATATTTTCAGGGGTCACCTTATCTCTTACAATACCTATGTTAAAAACTGACCATTGCTTTGAGTACATTGTTTAGTCGATGGTCCACTTTTTATTCTTATTCTACCTATTGGATAAGATATGCACCTTTGTTAGCCTGACCACTAGAGGGCATTATCTGTCCCTTTTCACTTGGATCTATCCAGTGTCTTGCTATTATTTTTGCTATTATTTAAGGACACTGTTTAGTGAATGATCCCCTATATTTAGGCTTTTCATACTTTCCAATTGTTTTAACACACTTTTGGTATATGTATTTTTTTATTTCTGGTGTGTAGGGCGGTGGTCCCGATTTGTGAGTGTTCTATTTATATTTTCTATTAAAAAAATAAATTTTATACTCTAGGTAGTTTTTATTGTTCCATTCTCTACGGTAATTTTCTACACTCTCACCCACTACTCCTGACATTGTTGCTCTAGTTGATAAATTATTTATTAGGGCTTACCCCTAATTCAGGAGTTACACATTTTTGCACTTACTGTTTTTACATACAGATACCCAAACACACACTAATACATATAGATATAGATACAGACACACAGCGACACTCATACAGCGGCACAGGGTCACACATACACATGCAGATATACATACAGACACATAAATAGATACACAGATAAATACACTGTGCGTACATACAGGCACAGATAGATACAGAGACACACATGCAAAATTAACACATTTTAAACCACCCTCCTGTTTCCTACCTTTTTTTCGTGTGGGAGTGTGGCTTCGCTGGGGTCCAGTCTGCAGTTCAGAGGCTCTTTCTTTCTGCCTTTTCCTCTCACATGGCACTTTCCCCAGTGATGGCTGCCAACATCACAGGGGCCCGTCACACTGTTAAAGAGAAGTGGTGCACAACAGGGCCACTGAAAATAATTTGAACAATAAAAAATAAATAAGTGAATGGCGCTTACACAATACAAAAACACAAAAGTGGTGGTGGAAAGTGTTCCCCAACACCTTAAATACAAAGTATACAATAGAAGATATATGGATACTAAATACACAAATGCCACAAAAATCCACACACCACTCTCTTAATCCCAAAAAAGTGAATGTATACAGTACTTATAAATACAGGGATATATACTGGTAGTGTTCCGTGTACTTGGACCCTATAATCACATAAAACAGTACATAGTGTAAACTGTATATGGAAATGACAATAATGAAAATATAATGGATCCACTCACGAATTTTAGAGCCTATGTTGAATGCCCAAGGGTGCATGTACAGGCTAGGTGCAGAGTCTTCACAATACCCCTCAAAGGCAGGAGAGACAGCAAGGATGGTATAAAAAATGGATACATTTATTGCAAATAAAAATTACAAAAACAACATACATTATATTGCTTTTGCACTTTTTTATACAACTTGTTTAGTTGTTTTTATAATTTTTATTTGCAATAAATGTATCCATTTTTTATACCATCCTTGCTGTCTCTCCTGCCTTTGAGGGGTATTGTGAAGACTCTGCACCTAGCCTGTACAGGCACCCTTGGGCATTCAACATAGAGCCTGGCACGGCTCTAAAATTCGTGAGTGGATCCATTATATTTTCATTATTGTCATTTCCATATACAGTTTACACTATGTACTGTTTTATGTGATTCCCAGTGGAACACTACCAGTATATATCCCTGTATTTACAAGTACTGTATACATTCACTTTTTTGGGATTAAGAGAGTGATGTGTGGATTTTTGTGGCATTTGTGTATTTAGTGTCCATATATCTTCTATTGTATACCACTGAAAATAATTTGCCATTGTATGGTCCAAAGTGCCTAGGACACCTGATGGGCCCCCAGTGTGTGCACCAATGGTTGTTCTGTTGCTGTACGTCATTGATTACATTTTAGAGTCTACAGCAGATCATGTAGAATGAAAATTGTACATGGTAATTTAGGATAAAAACACACATTTGTTTCTGATGTTTATTTTAAGAAAGGAAAATCCTGTTATGAAGGGATTTACAATATTTTTTTACAGTCTATAAAGGTATAGAATAAAGCAGTAGTTTTAATGTTTTTATGTATTTATTGCATTGATAATGCCAACAAGTGAACAAGTGTGTGTGTGTGTGTGTGTGTGTGTGTGTGTGTGTGTGTGTGTATATATATATATATATATATATATATATATATATATACACTGAACAATATTATAAATGCAACACGTATGTTTTCCCCCCCATTTTTCAGGAGCTGAACTCAAAAATCTAAGACTTTTACTATGTACACAAAAAGGCTTATTTCTCTCAAATATTGTTCACAGATCTGTCTAAATCTGTGTTAGTGAGCACTTCTCCTTTGCCGAGATAATCCATCCACTTTACAGGTGTGGCATATCAAGATGCTGATTAGACATCATGATTATTGCACAGGTGTGCCTTAGGCTGGCCGCAATAAAAGGCCACTCTAAAATGTGCAGTTTTATCACACAGCTCAATGCAACAGAAGTCGCATGTTTTGAGGGAGCGTGCAATTGGCATGCTGACTGCAGGAATATCCACCAGAGCTATTGCCCATGAATTAAATGTTAATTTCTCTACCATAAGCCATCTCCAAAGGTGTTTCAAAGAATTTGGCAGTGCATACAACTGACCTCACAACCGCAGACCACGGGTAACCACACCAGCCCAGGACCTCCACATCCAACATCTTCACCTCCAAGATCGTCTGAGATCAGCCACCCGGTCAGCTACTGCAACAATCCGTTTGCATAACCAAAGAATTTCTGCACAAACTGTCAGAAACCATCTCAGGGAAGCTCATCTGCTTGCTTGCCATCCTCATCGGGGTAACCAACTTGAGTGGACAAATGCTCACATTCGATGGTGTTTGGCGCTTTGGAGTGTTCTCTTCACTGATAAATCCCGGCTTTCACTGTACAGGGCAGATGGCAGCGTGTATGGCATCGTGTGGGTGAGTGGTTTGCTGATGTCGAGTGGATCGAGTAGCACATGGTGGTGGTGGGGTTATGGTATGGGCAGGCATATGTTATGGACAACGAACACAGGTGCATTTTTTTAATGGCATTTTGAATGCACAGAGATAGTGTGACAAGATTCTGAGGTCACTGGCGGAACTACCACCCTCTGCGACCGTAGTGTCCGCCGAGATTGTGGTGCAGCCCCACCGCTGGGACCACATTGAAGGGGCCCATTGGATGGCCCATGCTCTTGGGGCCACCCGATGGCAATGAATTACCTTTAAGACCACGACCAGGCCCCAGTGATGACATCAGGATGCCCTCTGGCACTCGGAGGAAGCCGTCACTTTCTCCCAGCTAGGTGAGCTGCACAGGTGAAGATCACCGGGGAGGAGAGGAAGGAGTCAGAGTGGAAGCTCTGACTCCCATCATCTGAAGGCAACCACTGGACCCCAGGGAAGCCACCCTCCTGCACCTAAATGTAGGAAGCAGGAGGTTGACTAAAATTTTTAACAGTTTGTGTGTGTGAATGTCTGTGTGTGAATGTTTGCATCTATGTGTCTGTGTGTGTGTGAATGTTTGCATCTATGTGTCTGTGTGTGTTTGAATGTTTGTATCTGTGTGTCTGTGTGTGTGTGTGTGTGTTTGTGAATATCTGTCTGTATCTGTGTGTGTGTGATAGAAAGAATATGTGTGTGAATGTCTGTGTGAGTGTGTTTGCATGGGTGTCTGTATGTGTATGTGTATGTGTATCTGTATCTGTCTGAATGTGGGTCTGTATGTGTATCTGTTTGTATGTATGGGTATCTGTACATGTATCTGTTTGCATGTGTGTCAGTGTGTGCCCCTATGTATCTATACGTGTGTTACAGTGTATATCTGTATGCGTGTCATTCTGTCTATCTGAATGTTTTTCATTAGGTGTGTCTATGTATCTGCATTTGTGTCTCTATGTGTGTCTGTGTCTGCATGTGTGTCTGTATGTGTATCTGATTTTCTGCACGTGTTTCTGTATGTGTATATGTGTGCATGTGTGTCAGTGTGTGCCCCTATGTCTCTGTATGTGTGTCACTGTTTGCATCTGTATGTGTGTCATTCTGTGTATGTGTATCTGTTTGTATGTGTGTCTATGTATCCACATGTGTGTCCCTGTTTGTATCTGTAGAAGTTTCATTATGTGTATCTGAATGTGTCATTCTATGTTGCTGTGTATTAGCATGTGTGTCTGTGTATGTATCTGTATGTGTTATATTATACAATTGGAGGGGCGGGGGGTGCAGGGCAAATTTTGCACTGGGGCCCTCTAGTTTCTAGTTACACCTTTCCCTGAGGCCCATTGTTGTGCCTTTCATCCACGACCATCACCTCATATTGCAGCATGACAATGCACTGCCCCATGTCGCAAGGATCTGTACACAATTCCTGAAAGCTGAAAACTTCCCCATTTTTGCATGGCCAGCATAATCACAGGACATGTCACCCATTGAGCATGTTTGGGATGCTCTGGGTCGGCGTATATGACAGTGTGTTCCAAGTCCTGCCAATATCCAGCAACTTTGCACAGCAATTGAAGAGGAGTGGACCAACATTCCACAGGCCACAATCAACAACCTGATCAACTCTATGCGACGGAGATGTGTTGCACTGCGTAAGGCAAATAATGGTCCCCCCAGATACTGACTGGTTTTTGGACCCCACCAGAGCCCCGTGGAGCCCCCCAATACAGTACAACTGCACATTTTAGAGTGGCCTTTTATTGTGGCCAGCCTAAGACAGACCTTTGCAATAAGCATGCTGTCTAATCAGCATCTTGATATGCCACATCTGTGAGGTAGATGGATTATCTCGGCAAAGGAGAAGTGCTCACTAACACAGATTTAGACAGATTTGTGAACAATATTTGAGAGAAATAGGCGTTTTGTGTACATAGAAAAAGTCTTAGATCTTGAGTTTGAGTTCAGCTCATGAAAAATGGGGGCAAAAACAAAAGTGTTGCGTTTATAATTTTGTTCAGTATATATATATATATATATATATAGTAAGAAATGGCAGCACTCAATGTCTTCACTAAAAATCTTCTTTTATTGGCAAGGTTAAAACATGGATCGAACGTTTCAGTCCCTGTATGAGACATTCTTCAGTCCATTGAGATCATGATATTGTGCACGGCATGTTGCGTTGCCAAGACACTATTGCTATGGCGACGAGTGCCAACACTTTTTGGAGGTGGAGCTGGGTTGCACATGTGCACACGGCGTGTTGCCAACAGCTACACACCATACTAGAGGTAACCAAGGTTACCAAAGACACATGCTGCACGTCACTTCCGGTGGTGGAGGTTGGGCATGCACACAGTGCTTGGCGAGACGCCGCCGGTTATGCAGTGCACCTGGGGTGAGTCTATTTTGATAATTATTTCTCCTATATATTGTAAGTTTAGTTCACATGTATTATATTAATCCTGAAGAAAGTCCCATACAGGGACTGAAACGTCAATCCATGTTTTAACCTTGTCAATAAAAGACGATTTTTGAAGACCGTGAGTGCTGCCATTTCTTACTATCTGGTAAATCAAAGTCCCAGGCTTAGCACCCGGCAAGTATGCATTATTACAGCCTGAGTGCAAGGATTTTTCCGTGTGTGTGTGTGTGTGTGTGTGTGTGTGTGTGTGTGTGTGTGTATATATATATTTATTTAAAAAATTTGAGGTGTACTCTTGTTTAAAGTTATTCTTTTATTCTTGATACATAAAACTTATATATGTGTGGAATTGTGTGAACTAAATAAACATGGAATAGGCTTTTAGGTGTGATAGTGTCCATATGATGGATCCAGTATGCCTCTCTCTGGTGGAGCAGTCTAAACTTATCACCCCCATGGGACAAAGGATGGATATGGTCTATAGCTATAAAGTGTAAAGTGGGTAATCTAAGGGAAATCTATGGGAAGCTACCAAGTGTGGTGAGATAGTCAGAAGAATCTGGTAAACCTTTGGGGGTGGCAGGTTCAATGTCCAGCGGGGTTGACTCAGCCCTTCTTCCTTTTAGGGTAGATAAAATGAGCATCATTAAATTATGGTCAAAGTGACATCTAGAAGGATGCAGAAGGATGTACTTGGAAACCAGAAAATTTCTGAAAGTCTCTGTCTCTTTCTGAAACACTTTATTATTTTTCCCAGTTTCTTTTAATGTAGCTGCTGGGTTCAATAATGCTGTGTGCCTTTTAATATGCATTTGCCTCTTTATTCACTTTTTCTAGGCCTCTGTGATTTCATACCTTGTGATTTCTCTTGGGCATTTATGGCTATCTGCCACTTTTATTACATTAGTATATGCCTCTATGTTTGGTTTTAAGCATTAACTAGCTTTATCTTATTTCTATGTCTCTGCACTTGGTAATAGACTATTCACTGTTCTGTTCCTCTATATCAGCCTATTTCAGTAGTTCCAGAATCTGCTCACATGGACCATTTGATTTCCAGAGTCCGCAAGTCCTTATGCCTGAAAGTATCTTCTAAGG